TCAGGAGGATGTCTCAAAGCGCTGCCCGGATTTACAGCAAGTGCCAGTGACTGTGTGTCTGTAGGGATGCTGTAGGTAAACACTGAGAATTAAGCCAGATATCTGAATCTTGATTTTACCCAATGGGACTCATGGCTTCTAGTATGGGAGTATTTTTCATTTTCATGCCATTTATTTCAATCATCTATAAATATAACCTGCTTACCAAAAAACAGATTGCAGTACACTTGGAGAATCATTTCAATCTTTTTACTGTAATGTGCTAACAACCCCTTTGCAGGTTTCCAGCCTTTGTATTCCCAGTTGAAACCCAATACTCAGTGACGATGTGCGTGCAGCAAAACAGATTTCCTCAAGGTCAACTCATGATTCCTGTCAGTCACAAGCTTGGCACAAGTGCAACAAGACATTTTTATCTCCGGGCTGCCGAACGTTTCCTGCTAAGGTTTTAGAGAAATGGACTGAAAACAGGAGTTATTAAAAAAAAGCATCATGAATTTAAAAAAATAGGAGTTGATATTTGATTAACTGATTGGAGTTCACATCCAGCTACTGGCAAAGATTCAGTGATGATTTCTGCCTGCAGCTGACTATCGCCATTATCACATATGTGTGCACTGACAAAATCTGTTTTAGTTTAAAGCAAATAAAATTCTTGAAAGCAACGAGCAGAGCACTTGTCGCATTGATGTGGAGTGCTTCTGATCCTGTAGAATCATAGCTAAAACAACAAGATTACATTTTTTTAGCGCCTTTCACATCAGGGGGATGTCCTAAGGTGCGAGACTAAGCTAGATTAACAGTTGGAGACAGCTGAACAACCAGAGGGGCTTGGTTACATCAAAACATCCAGGACTTGGAATTGGACATGAAGCGAGCACCCTGGTCAGTACATGACTTTTTGGACAAGGCACGGAAAATACTGAACTGTTTGGCAGCACAAGCCAGTATCTCCAGGATCGCAGGAGAGGAACACAATGAATGAGTTAACTAAAATCATGCATGTGACCAAAGTGGTATTAAATTTACAATGGATTCAAGATTCAACCGGCATGACTTTTGTGAGTGCACCACATTCTGAGAGGCAAGGTCAATCTTTATTGTTCCAACGTACATGCCCATACATTTAAAAGAGATATGAATACATACTTGAGGATAGCGAGAATTATGTGTTAAGAAAGGCCAGCGAAATTGGAATTGAAGCAGACAGCTCCAGTGGGGAGCAAGCAACCTGCACAAGGGACTGAACAGCCTGTATCTATGCGGTAAACATTTTACAATTCCCACTGACACTGTATGGCTAAAGGAAAAATTAAATTATGCACTCTACATTTTAAAATGCCACTGATTAGCCATCCTCATTGCTGGCAATAACTCACTTGGACACACCACCATCTCAATGAAATCCCACTGCAAATGGTACGGCAGAGCATCAACGCAAGACAGCAGACAGATAACGGGAGGCAGATTTTTCTCTCCTATTGCTGCATCTCCGCCTTACCGAATACCATAATAAAATGTCCACAGTCGATCTCTTCTACCAACCTGATCCACCGCAGTTACAGAAAAGTGTTGTGCAGCGGATCTTATTCATGGCTTATCAACAGTGAATTCATTTGTGCCGAGGAGAATTCTTAGGCACACAGTAGATAGCGTGCATGTCATTCACTTTCTGGATGTTAAAGATGAAGATCTTGATGAGCACGGAGTTTACTTTAGCTCTCATTTGTTTCCAGCCTGCAAAAACCTTCACCCTCAACGTCAAAAGTTAGGACTGATGCCTCAGCTCTTCAAGAACCTGAGTCACAAGGCACAAGGCACGTGCTGATCCATCCCCACTCACCCTGTGGCTCCCCTTGCGTGACGAGAGCAAGTCAATTACCAGGTGCATTTAAAAATTGAGGAAGCAGGGGTGTTACTGAACTAAAACAGAGTCCGGGCTACACAATAACAAGCTCCCCTAAATTATCTGACAGTGGAGAGGTTGTTGGGGGATTGGCCAAATTATATATTATCTATCAATATTACACAAGCTTCTCAAATTACAACAGTCAATGCTGCTGGTATATTTTCACAGCTCTGCTACATTATGTCTTGACAGCAATGCCCCACAAACAGCCACGGAGTGAATGACCAATTTTATTTGGGGGATTACTGACCAGGACATGGGGAGAGAGAAACTCTCTTCTCTTTTTGTACTATACCATGTGATCTTTAACATCCATCTGAACAGGCAGATGGGAACTCGGCTTGATGTCTCACCTGAAGGACAGATGGGCTGAATGGACTGAAATATCTGTTATTCTATGTCCTGACCCCCAACCCTTAGCCCTCAAGAGCTGAAGGCACACAACAGGAAAGTGGGGTTATTAACTTGTTAATTTTTTCAGACTGCAAAAGAATAACTGTATGAATTACCACTTACCGAATGTTCACTGTTCACTTACTGAATGTGCTGTTTGACCTCAGGCCATGACAATGTGTAAAACTCCAGTTCATTTGTTGTTCAGGCTTTTCACAATCCTATTTCCCTACATGCACACATACACTTAGAATCCTTAAACCTGACTCAGTTTCCAATACATTGCAAACAAAATCACGATCCCCAAGCTAACCTACAAAACACTGTCCTTGTGACGCTTTTGAAGTCGCCTGTGTCACATGAACGGCTCTGTCCCCACCCAACCCTTATATGAAAACATGAAGCAAATCTGCTCATGTGGAAATAGTTTCCAGTACAAATCATATTCAGCAGCTTTCTTTTTTTTAAAAAAACAAGACAAATTACTTGCAGTACACTGGAATAATGCCAATGGCCCAGATAGCAGCTGCAGTAACAGTTGCAGTACAATGTTGAAAGAAACAACTGCAATATATATATCTGATCTACAACAACAGTGGCAGGAGACACAGCAGATGTAAGACAAGATGATATTATTGGAAAATGCTGCTCAAACAACAAAATCGTTGAGCAACAACAACAAATTATATTTGTAGAACGCCTTTCACTTCGAGGGGACGTTCCTAACCACTGGACAGTCAAAGATGTACACCCAAGCAGGGTATTGGTATCATGAGGGATGGAGGGAAGAGATGGTGGGGGTAGGGCAGATGATCCAAGGTACAGTTGAAGAGCAAGGTCTTGAGACGGGTATATTGAAGGAGGCAAGGGAGGGGGCAAGGCGAAGGGACTGTGGGTTGGTGCTCCAAAGAGTGGGGGCAGTAAGAATGAAGCCCTCTGGGACGCTACCCTGCGTGAGGGGCGCTCTATAGATGCAAGTTGTTGTTGTTGTTGAAGGCCCAACTGCCAATGGTGGGGCGGGGAGGGCACATGGAGCAGTCCAGAGGCAAAGTAGCTGTATACTCTGATAACGTGCCTCTGGAAAGCAACAGGTAAAAATTTTCATTCGGAACACTGCAACAATACACTCACTGTAAGATGATCAACAAGCGAATGCTGACTTCATGGAAGTTAAAACAGAGATGGGAAACCAAGTGGCACTACAAAGGTGATCTATGACACATCGGGATTTGCCAGTTACGCAGCTTTTTGTGCAACTGCACCGCTTAATGAACAGGAGAATGGATTTTTCTCAATACGGTCAAAACCAATGGACTGCCCTGTCACGTACTACCACGTCGCTTTGACATTTTGTGTGTATTAAATTCCAAACGGGATTGATTTGCTTTCCATGTGTTTGTTTTTTGTAGACAAAGGAAGCGTTGGTGATCAGTAGTAAAAGGAACCATCAGTTTTACAATGATTAAAATTCCCGACATATTTAAAGTGAGTATTTGTATTAAGCCTCTCCACCGTGCGCTGGCACCTTACTGCTTTCATGTACATCATAAGTTATTCCAGTACATACACAGGATTGAGAGGTGCAAAAAAAAATCTGTTTTTCTGTCGTGCTCATCGTGGCACATGTCATTGGTTGAACCTCTCCATCCATACGGCAAACCCTTCATCCACATCCACACTCGTCATAACTCTCCTCCCCCCTCAACCTTCACGGTCACTCTCCCCTCACAACCTGGAACCACTCCCCCCAACCCCTCCCCCTGCATCCAATTCCATCAGAGCCCCCACCCGCATCGCCCTCCAAGACGTTCGCTCCCTCTCAAACAAAGCCCCCATCATCCACGACCTCACCCTGGATGAGCATTTTGACAAACTTTAATCTCACAGAAACCTGGTTGTCCCTCGGCGAACCTGTCCCCCTTATCAAAGCCTCCCCCCCTCACCTCCCTGGCTACACATTCCACCACACCCCATCGCGGCAGTGGGGTGGCTCTCATCTCCCATAACCTCTCTCTCTATTCCTCTGGCTGTTTCCCCTCTCTCGAGTACCCCACCCTCCACCATCCCTCCTCTCTCTCTCCTTCAAAATCCTCCTTGTGTAACCCCCAAACCTCCTGGTTCCTTTCTCACGGACATCTCTATCCTCTCATCCCTGTCCTTCTGCACTGAACGCCTGCTCATCATGGGCGACTTTAATCTTCATCTCATCCTGCCCAACTTCCTCCGACTTCACTGCACTCGTCTCCACCCTAATTCTCACCCTTCATATAAACTCCCCGACCTACAACCATGTCCCCCCCTAGACTTTGTTATTACCCATGGCTTAGATATTTTCGGTCTGTCCATCATGGACAAGGTCATCTCAGACCATTTCCTCATATCCCTCTCCTCTCGCATCCCTCTCCCCTCCATCACGCCCTCCACCATCCTTTTCCACCCATGGAAGGCTTCTCCCAAACGGCGTATGTCAAGGGATAATACAGCACTTATCCTCCATCTCTCTCCCTTCTATCTCACCCCTCCTTTATCGGTCTTTAAATCTCGTCTAAAAAGCTACCTCTTCTAACCGCGCTTCCACCTTCCATTTCCTCTCTCCTCAATCGTTCGGAGTTTAACCACGTCTTCGTTTATGCTCCGAGATGTTACACTATGTGAAGGGCACTATATAAATGCAAATTAGTGTTGTTGTAGCACTTACCTATTCTTCCAGAGGAGTCTTAGATTTCCATGCACTGCAATGTGATGAGCAGAAGTTGGGTTTCAATTTGTTAGCAGATTCCAAACCTTCAACCTATATATAAATGATATGAGTATTAACTTTCTACGCCATTGTCTGTGTCAGCAAATACAAACAATTAGCGGAAAACATCTGTATAAACAGCAGTACGCTGGTTTGAATAGCTAAGAATCAAATTTGAATTGCTAATAATAATCACAGGTAACAAATACACTACAAATCATGATGGTACATGTGTAACTGGATGATGGACGAGTCAGCTATGGAATGAGAGCGATCAGGTTAGTTGTACGGTCAGCTGAATATTCTTTAATTCTGTTTTGATTCCAGACAGGAGACTTATTTCCGATTTTTTTTCTTTGAGACTATATGTGTGGTTGGTTACCTCCCTCCCTCAGGAAGTTTTGTGAGTTTGGTAGTCTGTAATGGGGTAAATTGGGCATGGCAAAGCCTGTGAAGTGCTTTGAGAAGTCCTTCCAATGTAATAAGGTGCAATATGAAATACAAGGATTATTATTATTATTTATTATTATTATGGTCCTGAAGAGAACAGAAGTGGTAGGTGAAACCCCATAATCCACGTCACTAAAGTACCACAAGGCAGTTCAGATCTGAACAACAAATTACATTTGTAGAGTGCCTTTCGTGTCGGGAGGACATCCCAAGCCACAGCAAAATAAAGAGAAAGCGTCCCACGAGTGTTTCACATCCCAAGTTTGGATACAAGCTCAACAGCACATTTGTTTGTCTGTTTTGGCTGAAGGAGCGGATCAACAATCTGGGCAATACTTCACAGTGATCAAATGATAAACAACTGCATTTCATGTGGGGACTACAACGATCACGAAACAAATGTCTCAAAACGTTTCACACAAATAATTGCAAAGTGTGTCTGCATTTTTACTGATATTTTCAACGCCTTGGGGCATCCTTCCAACATGAAAGGCGCTTTACAAATGGAATTTGTTGTTGTTTGTTGTTGTTATTTACCTGAGTGAAAAAAGCCACCCGAGGTTTCATGGATTGTTGGAGGACATTCTAATATGTGTTTAATTAAACAAGACTCCAAGACACAGTGGGACATGGAGAAGAAAACCAACCCTATCACCACAGCATGAGCATTGTGACATTGGTGAGATGCAACTTGATCTAAAACACACATCATTATTCCTTTGAGGTAAAACACAGAATGCAATGCAGTGCTTTAACTAAAAAATATTTAAATACCAGCTTTTCAATTCCATTGCTTTCTAAAATATATTTGCAATTCCTTTCCTGCAGAAACAGCAGAGAGTAACCCCCACACCTAACCCTCCAGAAAACAGTATTATATTTTGTCAATCTTGAAAAGCAAGATTGCTGCTTTTCCCTTGATGCGCCCTGCAACATAGTGTGTTACAATGATCGTGTGTGAGAAACAGGAAGGGGAAAAAGTTGACAAGACATCTTAGAAGTCTCACATTACGAGGTCCTTGTAACATTTCCATCGTCACACAGCCCCTGGTTACCGCAGTTGCCCCTTCAGAACAATACTCATCATGGGTTGTAAACTGCAGCTAAAAGAAGGTTAAAAGGTTAAGCTTCTCCAGTACCAAACTAGTAGTCATCTCATTAAAGCTGCAGGCTTCATTTGTTCCATTTTGGATTAATAAGACATTGTGCCTTGTCCATTCCGCTCAACCCAATCCCAGAAGAACTGACAAGGTTTTATAAAAAGCAACTCTGTGCTCGATTACAAGAGACAAAAGTGACTCCTAAATGCCCCTGACTGGTGACCTCCTGATTGTGCTCTCTTCCTTCATATTTAAACACACACCATCTTGTGTACAAAGGTGGTGTTCTGTGAAAATTGAGAGACAAACAGAAGAATAAGTGTTCAATCAAGAACTATATTTCATATAAAGAACATCACATACACTAATGAAAAGGATTTTTGTTATCACTCAACACGTTGCACAGAGGTACGTGATTAACAACCTTGAATGCAGCATTTCGAAGCACAGGATGAGCTTTGGATATTTTACAATTTACACAATTTTACAATTTTCAATCCTTAATTTCTTCTGTGGGCTATTTATTACTTGTCCTTTATTATTTATTATATAATAATATTATTATTTATTACTTCCCCTCCCCTCTCCCCCCCGACCCCAGCTCGGATCTGAAATGCTGTACACTGTCCAACGCCTTGGGACATCCTCCCGACATGAAAGGCGCTATGCAAATGTAATCTTCTTGTTGCTGTTGAAAGGCAAACTCAGGTTTTGCTGGTGTACAAATTCAACCCATCTTGTGTGACCATGCAATTTTGCCCAACTTAAAACCATGCACCAATTACAACAAAAAAGCTAACCATTGACAGTTTCATTCTTTTTGGCTTCACAAAAGGAAAGATGATTTGGTACTGATATACTGCAAGTACATCTCAAAGTGCAATAGATTGGACTCGTCTTCTTGAGGCAGTGCTTCAAAACAAACAGCAATCACACAACACCCAGCAGACCACAGGACCCAATCCATCGCATTAATTTAGTCGATAACCCTGAACTGTGTATCTGGGGTGAGCCTTTTCAACATTTGGCTCTTGGACAACGCAGGCAAACCCAGTCCTGTCCTCATCAATAATTCCAGCCAAAACAACAAAATTATATTTGCATAGTGCCTTTCAAGTCGGGAGGACATCCCAAGGCACTGGGCAAACAGCGTTTCGGACCCAAGGTAGGGCTCGGGATCGGGGAGAGCGGAGGGGGAAACGAGGGTGATCGAAGGCACGGTTAAAGAGCAGGGTCTTGAGTCAGGTCTTGAAGGAGGCAACATTATTATTAAATAATGTTAAGGTTATTAAACAATAATAAATTGGTCATTTTCAATTTACGACTGTTTGTGGGACATTGCTGTGCGCAATTGGCTGCCGCGATCGCCCACAAATATAGTGTCAATTCACTTTACAGTGTGGTCTGTGAAGCGCTTTGGGATGTCCTCCCGACGTGAAAAGCGCTATATCAAATGCAAGGATTATTATTATTATTATAAGGGAGGGGGCAAGGCCGAGGGACTGCAGGATGGAGTTCCAGAGGTTGGGGCCAGAGTGGCTGAAGGTCTGCCCGCCAATTGTGGGAAGGGCGAGGCGGGGGATGTGAAGCAGGACGGAGTCCGCTAAGCGGAGGAAGCGGGTTGGGTTGGTAGGGGGTCAGGAGTTAGCAGAGGAAGGGGGGGAAGCAAGACCATGGAGGGCTTTGAAGGTAAGGACCAGGATCTTCAACTGTATCCTGTGTGTGAGGGAAGCCAGTGGAGTCGGGCAAGGATGGGGGTGATGGGGTCACGGAGCCTGGTGCGGGAGAGGACATGGGCTGCAAAGTTCTGGATGATCTGCAGCCTGTGGAGGGAGGAGTTGGAGAGGCCAACAAGCAGGGAGTTTGCATAGTCAAGCCTGGATATTATGAAAACATACTGGGTACTCCTCTGCACAATTTAGGACAGGAATTATGGCACTGAGACCAACAGTGAGATGAAGCACCCCCCCACACACCCCAGTCACAGATTGCAACTTGAAATTGAAGTTGTCTAGGTCAGTACAGATCTGTTCCACTTTGGGTACTATCTTCACCAGGTAACCCATCCATCTAATGCTGCAGTTTGACAGTAATACCTCATTTGAGCACTCCGAGAATCTACCCCACATGAAGGGTGTTACATAAATGCAAGTTGTAGTTGAGAAGCTTCCTATATTCTCCAGGCCAGCAGAGTTCACAGCAAATTGCAGAAAAGGAATTTCTGGCCCTCAACAGAAACTCAAAATTCTCACAACTTGAAACACCCATATTACAAAATGTAGTCTCGAGGTTGCTTGTTCTACATTAAAATGGGTACCTGCCCCTACAGCTGAATTTGTCACGAAAACAGGATTACCGACACATGCAAATTCAACGGGCTTCACAACTGCAGATGCTGACATGGACACTGTGAATAAAATCAACAGTCAAGCAAAACAATTATTTGCAGGTCACTGGCACCACATCAAAACAGGGCAGGAAATCAAACACGGGATTCCCAGTCCCAGTCAGCAGTGCGTGATGTTGTTGCACATCGGTACGTCACTGAGTGGGCTTGAACCCCAGCTTATTGCCCAGAGGCCAAACAATTGTTTCTGCAACATTACAACTTTGATGGATGTTTTGTTGCAGCACAAGATGGAAAAGTTGGGAACAAGTACCCAGAGTAGGGGAGGTTGTGGAACCATAGGTGCTTGTCCCACCTTGAATAGGTGGAGACAGCCACTTAAGTAAGTCTTACAAAGTACATGGAATGGTAATAACCGGGGCCAACAGAAAAATCCGTGGAATCCGCTACAACAACAACAACAAGATTCCATTTATAGAGCGCCTTTCACGTCGGGAGGACGTCCCAAGGCGCTGTACAGTTGGGTCAGGACCCGAGAAGGGGGGAAATGGTCAGGGTGAGGGGAGGGAAGGGAGCGAGGAGGGGGAAATGGTCAGGGTGAGGGGAGGGAAGGGAGGGAGCGAGAAGGGGGTAGAGAGTCGAGAGGGGAGCTGAAGGCACTGTCAAAGAGAAAGGTCTTACAAACCTGCCATAAATGTAGTTTCTGGCCCACAGGCCTCTCGCTGTTTCCCTGACGTGACTGTGGGGGGTGGCAGCTCCGGACTCAAATGCGCGGTGTTGCACAAGTGGGATATGAGCTGCATTCGGAGGCTCCACTGTTGTGATTGTCTGAGTCTCTGTGTGTGAGTGTCTCTCTTTTTGTTTGTGAGAGTGTGTGTGAGTGTGCTTGTGTCTGTGTCTCTCTGTCTGTGGGTGTGTGTCTCTCTCTCTGTCTGTGGGTGTGTGTGTGGGTGTGTGTCTCTCTCTCTTCTGTCTCTGTCTGTGCGTGTCTCTCACTCTGTGTCTCTGTGCGTTGCCGGGCCCTGAGAGGCAGGAGGTGGTGATCTCCTGTAGCCTCACTGGTGCTCCCTCAAAAAAATGGGCCACCCAGTTTTCATTAAAGAAGCAATTAACTTTTTTTTACAAAAAAAAGCGCTTGACAGTGGCGAAGTCTG